CTGCACAAGCAAGCACGGAAAACAAATCCTCTGATTACCTCCCCAACCCCCACCCTTAAAAGAAACACTGCCTTTACAGTTCTCCAGCAGAAATCCACAGCTTGATTATTAAACTCATGGATTAAGCATGAAAGCTTCCCCAATGGCCAATAACGTGCCATTCTTACTACTGGATGTAAGGGTTGTCGCCAGCAGTTTGCCTCCAGCAAACATTACAGGTCAAGGCTGCCAGGAGCTTATCAGCGGGATCGGCAAGTGCTCCCTCACCAAAATGTAAAGATCAAGAAATTCTGCCAGGTCAGACTAGCCGGCATCCCCACCATGCATCCAAATGGCCTGCAGAGGCAGAGGGAGGATAAAACGGCAATTTAGGGCACAGTCCTGTACATATGTAAACAGAAAGAAGTCTAAACATACTGACCAGATAATACTGGGAGATGCAGGAGAATGCTAACAGCCGTAGGGTTTCTTTTTCTGCCCAAACAAGCCCAGGGTTATATCCTTAAGCTCTGAAAAATCTTAGGAAAACTGGAATGATGGGGACAGACCCTTTAGACACTCCAGTGCAACGTCATGATATGAGGCACTTGAGAAATGAAGGGTTCCCAACCAAGCCCCATTATTCCTGTGAGTGTGTATATGCACGCATCACTGTTGGGCACTACACCAAAGCCAGGAGTACAAGTAATTTTTTTCAGGTTTTTCTCTTCAGAACTCTACACCAGGAACAATGGGCCAGAACGGCTTAGAAAGTGATGTGAGTGTTGCATCCGAAGTGCAGTTTCTGTTACATGCGGAATGCCACTCTTCTAGCAAATGTTTCCTCTTGGCATGGTGTCACACTTAACTCAAGGGAAGAGGAAATACTGGGGCAGGGGGAGGCAGAAAGCAAGCAACTGAAAGCACATACCTGGGCAGGCATAGCGGTACTGCAAGTCACAGACTAAAAACAACTTATATCAAACAAAGCTAAAACAGGCCTTGTAGTAAAATGATCAAGCCACTTAATTTATAAAATTAGAGGAGCGTAGACCCAAGCCTGCTTATATCTTCTGGAAATGAATTTCCATGGTTTAACTATGTGCTGCATGAAGGAGGCCTTCCTTTTATTTGTCCTGAAGCTCTCACCAGACAGCTTCAAGGGATGGCCCGAGGTTCCAGCAGTGTGGGGGAAGGAAGAAAAATGTCTCCCTCCGTACTTTCTCCACACCATGCATAATTCTGTACACTTCTGTTGTGTTATTTATTAACCCTTTTTCTAAGCTAAACAATTCCATTTGTACATTTCCTCAAAGCGGAACTGCTCCGGCCCCTTGATTTTATTTTCAGCACTTCTTCCAACTCTACAATATCCCTTTCTAGAAGTGGTGCACAGAAGAGCTGAACACTGATTCTAAGTTCAGTTGCACCATCGAACATGTTTGCCTATCCAGGGACACTTCCTGTATTTCTGGCTGTACATGAGATATTTAAGGCACCCAACCAGGAGCATCCTGGAGAAATTATTATGGCACCTCACCAAGAGTATTCTGGACAAAGTCTGTTTCTGGAGCACAAGTACTTTGGCTGTATTGTCAGTTTGCACAGGGAGGCGGTGAGGGAGGGGGAGAGAGAGAGATGCTGAAGCTGAGCTGGTTATTTAAGCTCTCGTAGATGATAATCAATTTTCTGAGCTGCCCCCAAAACAAAGCTGACATCTTGCCCACCCCAGTGACACCGGATCACACGCACGCTGAACCAGCAAAGGAGCAATGAACAGAAAAGGGCCCTCTTCACCACCTGTCAGAACTGCTCAGCCATGCAGAGGCGGAGGGAGGGAGGGCGGAGAGGGCAGGGGAGGAGGCAGCCCTGTCACGAAGCTGGAGGCCTGTCATCAGAAACATGGATCTGTGGAGAAGGTGCGGAATGAGAGATGATAACTGGACTGCAATTGTTCCAGCTGCACTGCAGGAGAGAAGTGGATGAGGGGAGAGGCTGGCTACAGGGAGGCACCTTACACACACAGGTCTGCTACACAGGGTAACACATAGGGAAACAAGAAGTGAGGGTCAGGATCTCCCCTACGTGAGAGGCACAGGTCAGTCCACCTGATTCTCTGGGATCCTCCTGCATTCCCCCATGCCAAAGCTCAGCCCTTTCAGCAGGGTCTCCTGAATCTCTGTGCAGCATTTCTGGAGGAGCTGCTGTGGGAAGGATGGGTTGGGAAAGTCCACATCGCCCAACAGCTGATCCCACTTAAAACGGAATCCAACCCATGGGTGCGGCCAGCCAGGAACTACTGAGGTGAACCACCTTGTTTTTAAAGAAGAAACCCTAGGTCACATGCTGTTGGCCATCATCATCTATGGACAAAAATGCATGGCTCACTGCCAGTATTTAGGGTATTTACCTCAAGAAAGGTACAAGGATATTTAGTCCAGTTATAGCTCAAGATACTCTGATTCACAGAAAGTATGAAAAGAGGACACTTCTAGACCTGAAGCCTAAAATACGCTATGCACGTATTTTTCTGAGTACAAGGAGGCGACTCTGGTGAAACGTCCACATCACACCCATTCTGCTACGTGGCACCTGTGCAAACGAGGCAGCCCTGGTGTGTGGCACTGGCGTGTGACCTGCAACCAGCACAGAAGAGACTGAAGGAAATGCTCAGGAAGGTGAGCACGAGGCAGAGGATGCCCTGCACCATTTTCAGTGCTTGCACCCACCACTGCTCAGACTTCAGTCTACCCGGAATTCTTGGAAGTGTAACTTCTTTTCCACGCCTTCAGTGAAATGTAAGAAAATGGCACGCCTTCCAGTTCCAGTGCCACTAAGCATAGAAGGAAACTTATTAAAAATGAGCATAAACTGAGCATATCAACCAAAATTTAAGATGGCAACAAATGAAGTGCAAGCCAGAAAGCCTGGCCTACCCCAACCGATTTGAGGAGAGATTTGGTTTGGGTAGAACACCTCACATGCCTCCTCTCTTGACTCTGTCTGATTACTCTCATTCTTAATTTCACTTCCACACCACCTGGTAGCTGAAGCTCTCTGGGCAGTTTACAGCAGGTCATAAAAACAACACAATAATATAGATTGTATAAAAATACAAGCATTTTAAATAAAAAAATTAAGAGCTGATTTTAAAGGCTTCCCAGTCTTTCCTTAACCACTGACGTTCTCTACCTTTAACCAGCAGGGGCCCTTCTTCTTATTTCATCCAGGCAACTCTCCTGCCTAGCCCTGTCCCTCACTTTCACTGATGGGACATCCTTGCGGCTGCTTCCAGCATTTCACCTCCATTCCTCCAGCGTACCTGAATGAGAGACACCTCAGTCCATGCCCCTCGCTCGCAACAGAGAAGCACCTGCCTGTTCCCCATCCTCTTCCACCCACTCTTCTGGAATGTGCTTCTAACAGTAATAAGGGATGGCTGAGAACAATTTCTTTCTGCCTGTTTTCAGGAGTCTTCATCATCTCTTCTGCTGGGGATAATAATATCCCTAAAGCCACCACAAATGAGAAAGCTGGCTGTGGCACATCAGTTGCTAAATCATCATTCGATTTGACTGTCATCTGCACCAGGGACATGAGCGCCCTAAAGCCGAAATCTTGGCAGGTTAAAAATCATTCAGACATACCTTATATTAAAGGAGAAACAGCTAAAGTGGGAAATGACAAGAAAGAATCCCAGATGGGGAACTGATTATTGTGCAATACTAGAACAATGACCTAAGGCAGAGGGAGCAGCGTAGGCAAACTGGCAACTTTCAAATGTTTTGGATTACAATTCCCATGGTTCTTGATGATGTGGTGATCGGGCTCTTGGGAGCTGTAGTTCAAACCATGTAGATGACATCAGGTTGGCTCCCCATATACATCTTCATATCCCCTATAATCTGCTATACTATGACACGGAGTAGTTTTTGGTTCACACTGCACTACTGCAGGGCCATCAAGTTCAACTCACTACTCACAAGCAGGACCCTGCTCCCAAGATCCAGCTGATAATTTGTGTGCTTGCTTAAAGTCTCTGGTTCTCAGCCTTGGGCCTACAATAGCCAGGATGGCCAGGTCAGGGAGGATACAAGATGAAGTCCAACTTCATCTGGGGATCCAACATGGGGAACAGTTGCTTAAGTCTTCTGGCAGGATTAAAACACACCTTCTAGTCCTCTTTCCTCACTGTGTATGTGGTGCTGACCCACAGGAGAGGGACAACCACATCATGACTATGTGGAGAGGTGCTTGGCCATTTCTTGGGAAACTGGCCCGTGAAGCAGCCAGGCAGGAAGTGACACTTCCCAGAGCACATTCACCGGCCCAAGCGATTTTCCTGCTTGAAATCTGTTTGGGGGTGCAGGTGCTGGCGTCATTTCTTTGTTGCTGGTGAGTCTTTAGTTATTCCGTTTGTGGGGATGTCCTATTTCTCCACTCCTCAAAGAGCAATATTTCACAGCAGGGTAGGTGTGATTTTGCCCAGAGCAAGCACAATCGGTGCAGGCACCATCAGTGCGCTACTGTCATCAAGCACCGACGGGACGGTCCCTGCAATGGGAACGCTCACAAAGGAGCACAGGCACCTTCCGCCACGCAGCCATTCTCTGGACTGTCAACCGCGGGAAGGCAACAGTGGGAGATGGAATAAGTGAAGGAAGTGGGCGCTGCAAGGGGGGAACAGGCCCCAGAAACCAGCGGAATGAATCAGTCAGCGTACCCCTACTGCTGCTCGAGGCTCCAGGAGCAGAACCCTCAGTCTGCAGCTCATGCTGTGTACGTCCCCTTTCCCTAAGAGAGTCCACAGCTGCTTTAATGCTTTCCAAAAGGAAAGTGGGGAGGGGCCAGCACAGTCGGGGCTGCTGCTCCTGCTCCCCAGCAACAAGGTCATATCCGCCGGTCACCATTTCATGGAAATTACCCCGTGAGGTGCAAAGAGTGCCAAAGGTACAAGTGCAGGCAGGCAAGACTCAGTGGGATGACATTTTGGATAAGCATCACGCCCCCTGCCTTCTTACCTCATTGATGCGGATCTGCTGAAGCTCTTGTTCTGCAGCCGTCAGAGGAGCGGGGGCCGAGCAGGACGATACGTGCTTCTGGTAGCCGCTGAGCGAGATGTCTTCCTGAAACCAAACAGGAGGAGCAGATGTAGCAACTCCAGGTCTGCTTCAAAGGATACCAGAGGGGAATGTGCCTTGCATTACACAGTGGAAGAGAAGCAAGACACAATTTTGCTAATCCTCCCCTCCTGGGGCACAGCCGCCCTGCCTTCCTTCCCCCATGGCCATGGGCGGCCATGGTGACTTGATCCAGACTATGGCCACTCTGATTCCCTGGGTGTGAGGCCTGCTGATTCTGGGGCTTCTGCGTGGAGGAAGGTGAGCATGGACTCTGCCATACTCAAAGGATGATTCTTTTCCATCCCGCAAAACCACAAGGCAAAGCAATAAACTTTAGTCTTAAGAGTCTTAGCTGTTTTCTACAGGGTCTAAGTTGCAATGTCCAGTAAGATGGTAAGGAAGAGATGCAGGAAGGCAGTCCTGCACAGTGCACATCCTACATGCCATGTGAGTGAAGGCGCCACTGAATGATGGTAAACTTAAAATGGTTCTTGTGCTGACTGGCACCAAACCTATCTTAGAAACCATAGCAATAGCACCTCTATGCAAATCAGCTGAGCCAGTGGAGCTTGGTGGTTCCACTGTTAGCGATGTGGCGTCTCCACTCAAGGCTCCAGTCGAAATTTTTCAGGAGCAGTCCGTGGTGCTGAACTGAGCCCCAAAAGGTTCAGAACTACAGCTAGCTTCTTTGAAGTTCACACTTAAACCTGAGCTGGATATCCTGCCCCAATGACACTAGGGTCAAGCTTAACCAGCGCTGAGCTGAATGGCCCAGTAGATGCCAGCAATTATTCTCTTGTGGCTACTGCCAGATCAGATGACACCCCTGGCTGGATCCTGCAGCCCTGAAGTAGATCTGGAGCCCGTGCCTTGAAACAAATGAAATACAGTGGTCCTTCCCTCGTTATAGGATTGCAGGTACTGGCTATATGCATGGACAACTGTTGCTGTGCTTCAACAGGCTCAGAGACCAGCCCATGTTAGTAGGTTTTAAAGGGCTAATTCATGTTCTTCTATGTCCTATGCATGGAAAAGACACACTTTTTCTTTAAGAAATAAAATGGCACCACTGACAAGAACTTGTCAATACTGAGACAGTACTGAACTTAGTGGCAGATTCTTTGACCAAAGGCAGACCTATCTTGAGGATTTTACAGGCATGTAGAACTACAGAAGGTTATAAGATGAGGATTCGAAGAACAAGAGAGTATGGTCCCATTTGATGAGCAATACTGCCACCGTATGGCTTTCTTCATAAAAACAAAGCACCACGAAAATTCTTGTTGGCGAACCACAGTCTGCTACTGCATGATATGAAAAATGCACTTATGCCAGTGAAGTTTCATATTGCTGCTATTTTTCTGCACGTATTTCAATCTAGGAATGCCTTGGCTGATATCCAGCTTGAACATGATGTGATGCTTTTATAGCTACTATATATTACAGTAGTGCTTGAATTATAAGCAGGGCTGGTAATGCAATTCCAAACCCTGATTCCCACCAAACTTTGCCAAACCATGCCGGCCTTGTAACATTCTCATAAGACCCCTTATGATTCAAGTACTGTAAGAAGTTTTGCTCAGAAAGAACAGGATAAAATGAGGTGCAAGAGAAACTGTCAGATGAACAGTTCCTGGTCTGTGTCACTTCTGTCCACACTGGACAAATGGGCCACACTTTACACAGTCTCTTCTATCACACTGTGAGAACTCAGACAGTTTCCAGAACTCCTTCTGGTCATCCAACCCCACCGTCCCACCCCATGGGAATCTAAATACAGCAGACACTGCAAGGTGGGCGAGCCTGAACGAACCTGCCTTGAGCAACAGAGGGCAAACATTACTGCTGGACAGCAGGCATAATCTTCTACACACATTATTTTCTTCCAATCTCAGAAAATACTATCCAAAGGGTGTGGAGACTCATAGTCTGACTTCTTGATGGAGGATTCCAAGCAACACTGTATAACAACAATGGATATATCTCTTTTCCCAAGGCCTGACCTTTCTTATGTCATGTTCAGCACACCATATTGTCATACCTTCACTGTTCCAAAGAGCTCATCCTTTACATGTCCTCCTCCAAATTCTTTCTTCACTGTTGCTCTAGTTGCTGCGTACAGCATCTTCAGCCTAACCTAGTTATATGGAGAGATGGAAAGATAATCAAAGACAAGAAAAAGCCATTCCACATTTGAAACAGACCACAGCCATGTGGGGCATGCAGGTATAAACACTATCAGGTTGTCCATTCAAACGATCTGCACTGAGCTAATTATCAGCAGTTATTCCTTGGAGGAGTTATATATGATCTTATTGAGAGATTTTACATCAGAACTTGGGAGATTGCTAGCAACCAGGATCCCTGATACTGTCTCCATCTTCATGGTATAAAGTTTTCATATATGTATTTTAAATACATGGGCAAAATATTCCAAATCAGGTGCAAACCCATTTGTTGAAACTTGTGGTATTTTTGTACAGGACATTAAAAAAACCCCTTGAAACTGCCTCATACCATTCATGGCCATGCATGACTGTTGTGGACACAAAGAGAAACCTGAAGGGATGCATTTTAAAATTTATATTCTATTAATATGTTTATATCTTGCTGTCAAAACTAAAAACAACTTTAAGGGTGTTTATTCATTTAAAATCCAACTGCATATTTAAATATGAATAATACAGAAGGGCCATAAGCTACATAGAAGCGAACTAGTGTGCCAATCATTATGGCCACTAGATGCTTTCTAGCATTTCCTCACTCTCTGCTACCTTGAGCCACACACACCTCACCCCTCAAATCATGGCTCGGTTCCTGTATCAGCGACAGAATGAGAGGACTTATCAATTGATTTAAATCGATGTGGCAAGAAAGCCGAAGGAGGTTTTGACATCGCTCTTTCAAGTGCTCTGCTTAGTATATAAAGCAGTAGCCCTCGCCCATCCCTGCTTTCCAGCTAAATTGGCAAGTACGTATTCAATAAACATGTGCATGCCTGACTTGACTCCTAGACTGAGCCTGAGCTAAATCCAGTTATCAGAACTGCTTGCACTGGCCACCAGGGGGCACATCAGCTCTAATAGGAAGCGAGGTTCTATGACCGGTTGCATTCCTTAGAATCCGCTTAGGCATTAATTCAAAACATTGTGTGGGAGAGACAGACTGTAACTGGAAACTGGAAACTGGCAATTTCCAAAAGGTCCCAAGCACAAGCCCTCTTGGTCCTAGGAATGGCAGGTGCTATCCTATGAATGTTCACATTACGGTAAGTTTGTTAGCCTTTAAAGTGCCACAGAAAGAGCCCCTCGCTGAGTGTAACGAAACAAGACACAGACAGTCCTCCAGAATCTGGGCTTGGTGAACCTTCATTTATTGTGGTCAAAATGTTTCTTGTCAACTAACTCTATTATGGCATTAAATAAATTTTAAATACCAGAAGTCCCAAATGGCCAGTATCTGCCACTCTCCCCACTTGGCCATGAGGCACACTGGGTGACTTTGGGCCACAGACTCTCCGCCCAACCTGCCTTGCAGGATTGTTGTTCTGAGGCTAAAATGTGCTGTGTAATCTGTTCTAGATTCCTCACATGAAGGGGGAAAAAGCTGGGATAGAAATGCAGTGTAACAACTACTACTATTACTGCTGAATTTAATTACATTGTGTAATAATGTTATATTATCCAAACATCTGCAAAATGCCACAGGGGACATCCAGGTCAGGGGCAGGCATCCAGGCACTTTTGGACTGTAACATTCCTATCACTGTTACGCTAGCTGGTGCTTATGGAACTTGTAGTCCAAAGCATCCGAAGGACACCCGGTTGCCTGCCCTGATCCAGCCTCCTCAAAGGTATTGCTCTTTACACCTTGAGAAAGGTGAGAAGGCACTCTGAATAAAGCAGTTCTGCAGAGGAACATTTAACATGCCTTTTGAACCCTCAGCCCACTTGTCACATGTGCCCAGTACCCGGGGAGAGATTTAAGTGATGTTTCTTTTAATGGCAAGAAACCAAAGGCTTACAGGGGAGTTGTCAGGTGACCAGGAGATAAAAAGCCACTCATAGCCCTGTGCGTTCTGGGTGTCCAGGCGGTACAGAATGTAACAGGGCTGCAGTTCTTCCAGCAGCGGCAGCACAAAGGAGTCGTAATCCTTGTCCCAACGGCGAGAGAGCTCTTTGTAGGCTCCAAGCACCAACTGCTCTGAAAGTTGGAGAGTGGGGTGGGAGGGGGAAAAAAGCAGTAGTCAATGAGATGCCATATTTAATGCAGCATGGATTGTTGGTTTGTCAACATGTTCTTCACTGAAATTTTGAAAACTCCAAAAATTTCCTTCCTTCTGAGAACCTCGGTAGATCTCCTGGTTACAAATGACAGATCTGTCTATTTTCTGGTAAAAATTACTCCCATGTTTCCTATGTTCTGTACAAGTTGACACCCTGTTACACAGGTTAATGGAAGGTGCAAGTTGTGTGTGTGCATGTAAAACTTTTTGGGGCTCAGGGGCAGATTTGGAAAGCTGATAAACTGTCATGGGACATCATCTCGAAATGGCTGCCATGGGAGGCTGCTTAGTCACAAAGGACAAGGAACTTCCCAAGAAAGAAACTATAAGCCAGTTTGTGTCTGAAAAGACAAACTACATACATAAGCAAACAGAAAGACAAAAACAGCCACTGAACCAAACCAGGCCGGGCCAAACTGAACCAAACCAAACCAATTCAAACTAAGCTAAACCAAAGCAAACCGAGTCAAACCAAAGGGAATTTGTAAAGCTGCCCCCAGCAACAGAAAATCCCCAGTACTACAATATACACTGTAGATGTGAGGAGGGATGAAAACAAAAACACACCATTACTTTAACCAAATGGACTTTTAATGCACACATGGAGTTTCCAAGCATGGACGCCTCCATTCACAACACTGTCAAGCACAGCTCCAGGAGCCCAATCAGTATGACCGACCCATCCTCCACTGACTAGAGCCGTTCTTGTCACTCTTGTGGGTGTACCATCACTGCACCTTCTCTTATCCCACACCAGCTGAACTGGAGAACCTGTCGAGTTCTAGAGCCTCTAACTGGGTCACACTAGTTTCCAGAAGGGTATGGAGGGACCCTACTGAAATGCACAAAGCACGAGAAACACATGCCTCCCCAAAACTGCAACTGTGGCGAGGGTTTTGTTTTGCTCCTTTTAAAAGGGCCATTGCTGCTGAAGTTTCTTTTTAGCCGTATGTTGAAACATCCATGGATGTTCATCTCCCAACTGTAAGGTTCTGGGCAATTTCTCCCAAAATATAAAATGGATATCTGGCAAATATAATATAATATGTAATTTTGATGATGATATCTGGAATTTCAGCAGAAGGTTACAAAATTAATAATTTCCTATGTAAAGACATCCTACCAAATGACTTTGTCACTGATGTGAGCAATATCATTACTTGAAATGTAGCGAAAAGTGCATGCTTTGCTACCTGCAGAAAAAGTCTTGCCTTCAAATCTAGCATCTCCACTCAAAAGCAAGATTAGGGAAAGTTTATCTGCCTAAGACCTTGGAGAAGCAGTTCCAGTCAGAATAAACTGTGCTGGGCTTGATGTACCAACAGTCTGAACCAATATGAGCAAGGGTCATATGCTTTCCGCGTTGTTGTTTAAATTCCTGCCTGTGCTAGATAACTAACACTGGGAGAAGGACAGCACAGGGGTGTAGCCTTGTGATTTCTTGGAATAGTCCGACCATTGAGGTAGGCAGTAAATATGAAAGTACTCGAGTGACTGCTGTCAGGAAGTAGGTAGCCGCTGCCTTCACTGAGTAAGGGGCACCAGACTGTTGCATCACATTTGTTCTCTTCGTACTAGAGCCCAGTCTTGAGTCCTGAACTAACCAGTGACAAACAAAAGCAAAACCAAGAAAGAAGCCAAGAAGGTCAAGGGTCCTTGCCAGAACTCAACCCCACAATGCAGTGACACAGGTTTTGCTTCAATACTGCATACGCAGATGACTCCTGGTCATTCTAAAGCCAACTGGGTCCTCTGCTCCTTTCCCCTTCTGGTTTCCGGTCAGTTAACAATTCTAAAGTGGGGAAGCGGGATCAGTGGAAAGAAGGCAGGAATGTGGGTGTCACCATGAACCACTGAGGATGTCAAGACAGCCCTGGAAATATTCACTTCCCTTTAGGATGTAAACCATGTTCTCAAATATCAGCAATGTCATTTACTGTGACTTCCACCACCACAACCAGTTTTTGCTTGCAAGGGAAGCAGTGAAAATCTAATCACTTAAAAACAGGAGATGGACTGAAAAAGCGGGTAAGCCTGACATTGAAAGAACAGAACCTAATTCAATTAATGTGGAGGCATTCAACACGTCCAACATCACCATTCAAGTCTGTTTGCAAAACGAGTGATTCATTTCCACGTTTTCCTGTTCTTCTAGGTCTGTCTTACCACCCAATACCACAGAGAAAAGTAATTGATCATACTGGCAGATGAAGTGAGCCAAGAGATCCTGAAAAAATAAGTGCAGCTTCTGCAGACAGGCAAGGAGCAATTATTAATGGATTAAATGAAAATGCTAACTTGCAGTATATCCAGCTAAACTTGTTATCTAACAAAAGCAGGTGATGACCATGTGATGAGGTGGCAGGATCTGCCCTGAATATCCTATCATCCTTTGGACCTGTTCAACAGTCCAATTCCTGATTTTCTTGCACAAAACTCTGAACTTTATTAATGACCTACATTTTTTCCACTACTGGTCTCACTCTTCCCCAATGTGGCACTCCTCCAATGTGTTGGACTACTAGCCCCATCTTCACCAGCCAGCATGGCCATGGGCCAGGGTGGGAAGGAAGATACGGACAGAGGTTTTGCTAGCTACAATCCCATTTGTCCTCCTCCATACATATTTGCCTCAGTCTTGCATGCTCTTTAAAAGACAACATGTATTTCAGCACGTATGTAGTTTGAATCATGTGAACTTAGTACAGATCCGTCTACTCAGGGTAGAAACAAATGTAAGGATACTACTGTGTTCCCAAACACTAGGTATGTGTGTGAAAGCTGGACAGTGAAGAAAGGCGACAGCAAGAAAATGGAGACATTTGAACTATGGCGCTGGAGGGCAGCTTTGTGAATACCGTGGAACAAAAAAAAAAAAAAAAAAAAAAAAGATGAACAAGTTGGTCCTAGATCAAATCGAGCCAAAACTTTTCCTGGAAGCAAAAATGACAAAACTGAGGCTGTTGTACTTTGGGCACATCGTGACAAAAGCAAAAGCGCCCGGAGAAGACAATCATGCTAGGGAAAGTAGAAGGAGGAGAAAGAGAATACCAAATATGAGGCTGATTGACTTCATAAAGGAAACCACAGCCCTGAATATAGAACAGCGAAGCAAAGATGTCATGGACAGGGCATTTTGGAGGGCTTTCATTCATAGGGTTTCCTTGAGTCAGAAACGAATAGGCAACACATAACGACAACAAAACGAGCAAAATAAACAAATGGCTACCATCTGTAGCCTGAAATAGTACAGTCCAGGAAAGCTGTATCACATTGTCGTCATGTGTAGGTTTGACTCTTTGTCTGCATCGGGCAGTCTGAGGCAACAGTCACATTCTGGATAGCTATGTTTATCACACTGGAATGCCTTATAATATTCCAAAATAAATGCCATCCTTGTAGCGAAAACCAAGAAGGGCAACAGCCTGCAGTGACCCAGGAAGTAAAGCAACTACGCAATTTACACAGTTCATTCACTTCAAACAGTGGTTGCGAAATCTAGTTGGGCAATCCAGTAAACTGATTAATCAGAGCCCTTTTTTTACTGAAACAAAAGGTGTTCCCATTTAAATCAGTTGACAATTTTTTTTTTAAATGCTGCTTAAGCCCTATAAGGAGTACAGATATGGACTCCATCTTAGAAGAGGCATTTCCCCTTCTCACAGACACACAAATAAATGTCCTCATCTATGGAGCCAGTGGTACCTGACTGTAGCCCAACCTGATAGTCTCCAGATATTTTGGATTATGAGTTGGTCATTGTAGCAATGGATCCTACATCAGATTAAGAGCTCCTTTGCACTAAATGATGCCATAGCAGAGTTGGAAGGGGCCGAAAAGGCCACTGGGTCCAACCCCTGCTGTTGCAGGCCACCAATTTACACCGTCCCACTCATAAGCTGTGATGGACGGACATATCTTGCATGCATGTATGCAGCGTGTACCACCTAACAGGCAGGGCACACCTGCCAAAGACAACCTAGGCCCACTGTTTTTCTGTGTGGTTGGACATGCATGCACCTCCTCCACACACACATGCATATAAGCAACAACCCAATACATCAACCCTCCAAATCTGTGCATATAATGCTATGACATTTTTCACACAACTCTCATTTCTGTTTACCCCTTTCTGAGCAGCATGTATAATTTCATTCTACTTCTCTGCCACTCTTGAAATTCATCCAGACCTGTAGCAGAAGCCCCCATGTACACAGAACTCAGTTCTGTAAAGTGGGCCATCAATTTGAAGGTGGAAGGCAGGCAAAACGTATACACAATTCTTCATACAAACCCTGAATTGTCTCCCTTTCCTCTGGAAACAACCGAAAACAGCAATATATCATAAGCAAACCATGTGGCAGCTTGCAAAGCAACTCTGAAAGCCAAAAGGTCTGGCTTTTTTAACCTGCTCAGTCATGTTACTAAGCCAAAATGCTGCTGACCTCTGCATTTTGTACACCCTACAGTAAGAATTCCCATTCCACTAAGTTCCACCCTGTTTACAGTACGTTATTTGATCTGAAGCCAGCAACCATTGCTTTCCAGAGCAACATTTGATGCTCACTGTAAAATCTTTTCGACTACCATGTGTCACTGCTAAACTCACGCAGATGAGGCTGTCACAAACACAGGAAGCTGCTTTTCACTGATCCACCCAGCCCGCTACTTTGATGGGAACATCTCTCTGAGGCCTCAGATAGGGACAGACAAATCTATGTCTGTTTCACTTTCTGTGATGCTCATAATGTTTCCAAGCATCTGTTTGTTCTGCCCTGGTTACCCAGCAATTTGCTTAAAAAAAAAATCCACAGAATAGTGTGCCTACACTTTCATGCGCATGTACGATCTCATGCATACATTTTTGTAAGTACTTTCCCCAGTATCTGCCTTTGTATATGTAATGTTCCCAAACAAA